AATGCAACACAACCATGATTATCTACCTCAGTCACAAATATTTCTCTTAACTCCAATCTTATATGTATACACCTACATAAAATACTGGTAATGAACATGTTCTCTTAACCTAGATTTAATATTTTAATGGTAATAACATGGTCATTCCAAGGATGAAAATTGTTCCAAGTGTAAAGAGATATATTTATTAACTGTGTGAAAGTGCATAGTTCTAAACATTTATAACTTGGCTGAAGAAGCTTACTTTATAAAGACAAATAAATCTTTGGTTAGAACTTTGTAGCAAAATACAGTTTTGTGGTTATCATTTTCAATTATAGCAGTAGCTGATGACGGTTTGGACATTCGAAGAAGTAGTTATTTTTCTTAGACAGAAAACGCATGTTACTAGTTATTCCTAACATACGAAAAATCTAGATTCGATGCTTTTTCTCGATTGTGTTTGACTCTAAGGTTAATATCAGTTACAAATGGTCAAAAGAATCAAACAAGATGTTTATCAAATACATAGTCTATGGTGAGAATGACAAAAGTAGGTCAGACCAGCTTGTGAAATTTTCACATCGTTTCCCATGGTAACTAAAATATTCAGATGCCTCAATCTGTTCTGAATGACACCTTGAACGGCTTTAGTCTTATGAGTATTAAAGTTGTGCAATTTATATCGTTGGTTAACATGAGTAGTTATTGACAACTGATGCTGGTTAGTAGTGCTAAATGAACGTGCTTTGAATAGTTCGGCTAGTTGAGCTGAATCAGTCTACGTACACCACTGATAAGCTCAACCCTAGACAAATGATCAATGCTAAGGTTATCTCGATATGGTTTGTGAGCACTGCCGATCAGCGTCAGTAGTCTACAAATACTCTTTTATGCCACTGGGATATTTCGGACATGTTTAACAGACTTACATAAGCCATTATAAAAAATATCGATTAGTGAGCCGTTCTGTTCAACAAAGGGTGAGGCGGTGTGCCGATCAAAAACTATCACCAAGATTTGTGCTCAGTTTTAAAAAAAAATTACTTGTAGTTGTTTTATTTTGGTAGATATCATTTTCAATTATAATTGCAGATTTAACAACTGAGTTACTTAGATGGCAACTATCTTTAGTACACACGGAATGTGTACACAAATCAACCAGTGGTTTGGTGTTTTTCAAGCTTTGATATTTTAACGTGGACTTTTCATCTCATGACTTCATGACATCATTAACGTAACTTCCTATTAATCATTTGACAGTTGTTTGTATCATGCGTTAGAACCCAGTGATAGTGGAAACCTATGGATTAAGTTAACGTGATGGTCTGAGAATGATTAAAATAGGATGAACGATTCGTTTCTAGGATCCCTTTCCATTAATGCTTCATTCTTGACTATTAATCACCTCAGACTTAAATGAATCACACCTTCAGTGTGAAATTGAAGGTGTTCCGGTAAAAGCATTCTGACAAACTTTTTGGGAAAAGAAATGACAGACTAACTTGACAAAAACTTTTGGTATGTAGATTCGCGTAGAGTAGTTTGGATGAAGCTTTGAATCCAAGATACTGGCATCAACTAACAGGAAAAGTTTAATGCTATCGATAAAAAACATGAAGGAAGAAAACACATCTTTCAGTTTCAACAGTTCTCACCACTTATTGACATCAGCTAGAGAATTCATGAACAGATACTTCGCCCTAGTTTGGGGCTCAATCTGTAATAGTTACGATCACATGCAAAATCGAGATAATGATAGTGTAATTGCTGAATACATACGAAACTTCAGGGCTGTAATCAGAGAATTAACCTCATGAGGTTAAGCGATACTATTCAATCAACTCCCTAAAATTATTTAGTTTATGCTTCAACTTCGTGCACTGGCTGTAACGTTTAGCATGTATGCTAGGCTATTAGAGCACATAAAAGGAGCTACACCGAAAATGATGGAAGTACAGAAAGGCTCCTTTATAATGATGCATACAATCACACAACACGATAAAGTAGAGTGACAGTCTCCAAAACTGGCTTAGTTAGGTGGAAGAAAAGAAATTTATTTATCAAATCAACAGTAAACAGCAGGAATGATCCAGAAGCCATCCCAGATATATGGAAAATTCTACTCCATCTATCGTCAAGAAAAAGAAGTTGAACTATATAAATAATATCCCAGACATGTGCAATTACCTTTGACATAGGTATGGTGAGGTAAGTGTGTTCGAAGCGCTATCCAGTGAATAATACGTTTTCACTGCATGATAAACTTGGTAAACAAAGTGAAATGGAATTATGCTCTTTTAAAGCATAAAACTCCTTCTTCTCGCATATCAGTGGATTATTTCCCCCTATTCAGACACTTTTCTACGCCCGTTAGCAATCATCAGAAAGGAATATGTAAAAAATGCTTTCAACAACTTTTTACCCATTCATACAGTAGGCAATAAGACACACCTATCACGTGAGGGCTAATGACTGCATAAACCTCGATAGGTAGAGCGGTATTTAAATCCATGACCCATTGTTTGAAAATCAAATGTCTACACAAATGAACCACAGCTTCACAAAAAGTGCCTAAACATAAATTCAATGAAATTATCGTCATCTTAGAGAGTCTGGAATCCATAACTCAATATAGTATTAGAAAAAGCTATCACTGATCTGTTCACATCGCACTATCATATCACTTGGACTAATGAACTACCATCACACGCTCAGGTGATAAAAATCCTGTTCAAAATGGAGACTAAACAGTTTAGTATTGTGGAAAAAAGCAGGATTTAATGGATTGATAAATTTCAGATACTCAACATACTTGATTATATATATACCGTTAAACAGTGGAAAAGAACATACATATATATAACATAGACTGAGATAGATTTAGGTGTAACAACATAGAAATGAACAGGTCAAATGGTAATAAAAAGGGTAGAAATGGATGTTCAAAATTGAATGGATTGGGGATAGGTTAACTGAGTTTGGATGATAGTGAATTACAGGTAGGTGGTCACTGGTTCGAATACGGTCGCGGTCCAGATTTTCATTTCACCTTCAATCATCACCCAGTATAAATAATCATAATATTGACACAAATGTGAAAGCTGAATCGACTGAGCGTCGATCACATCTTCAAACCAAGATAATTAGTAGCACTTATGTAGATATAATAAGAAAACCAGGTGTATATTGAGATGAGTAATAATGATAACAATGGTATTAGGAATAAGGTTAATTGAGTGAAACAAATCAAATAAGGAAAATAAAGTATAAGATCGATGATAATTAAGTGCGAAGAGCAAGTATTAAAAATTGAATATGATTAGACGATGTTGCAATTCCTACCATGGCAGATTTAAGCTGACTACCATTTCCTTCTGCGTGCAGAGGTTTGGTTTGACAATTCGAATTGGGCAGGTTTCTACATATCAAAAACCTTATTTTGCTGTCTACTGATAACCGTAAAGGACGTAGAGGTATCAATATCGTTTCCATAATCCATTAGGTGTTTCATTATCGAGCTCGTCTTCTTGGCATACTTCAACCATTTGGGTAGATAGACGCCTCTCCGCACGACCAGTGTATTTGCTTCCGCAGATAGATTCGAATTGATATGTGCATTCAGATGTGTCGAGATTCGGAGCCCTGTCTTTCCCTGACTGCTGTAGTACCCTTTTAATGGTGCTAAGGAGAACGAGTTGAGCAGCGTAGCAAGTCCTTCTGACAAACTTCTGCAGTCTTCGTCTGACTACTAGCACGTCGTCACCTTTGAATGGCAAGGTGATATAGACTGGTTTCTTCTGCACTGTTGGGGAAGTTGTTCTGCTTCCAACCCATTTTGTGTGCTTCTTGATGATATTTACTTGTACCGATTCTTCACTGGCACGTTTTTCAATGTCACCACTTCGTAGTCTAATATGCTGTCGGAACAAATTTTCCTGGCTCTGTTAAACAGCATTCTGACTACTACTACCCAGTATCGGGAAATATGTTTTCGGTTTGATATTGATTACCTTACAAGAGGGGAGTTAATTTACTATGATTGTTCATCAACACAATCCAGTTTCAAGCCAGTCAGGGGGATGTTAACTTATGAAGATTCTAAATCATTAGGGTTGATTGAAGTTAAGTGATCAGTTTTACAATTTACTACTATTCGCCTGCTTTTACAGATAATTGTAATATCCACACTGTAAGTTCACCTTATTATCGACTGGCCATACTTCTGATAACAATTTTCACTAGTTGTTTCCCTGAAATTGCATACCATCATCACTATGTAACTGAGCAAATAATAAATTGCGTATAGGATATGTGCTATGAAGATAGCTCATTCTACTGAAAGTGAACAAGTGATTGTTTATCATCTGTGCAGAACAAACTAAATTTTACTCTATTTAAAGACACATGATCAAAATAAATTTATATTATTCAGTTAAAAAACAAAATTTAACAGATAACAGGTATAAACGTGAAAAATAAAAAGTCATTCGATTATGCAGTAATAACAATAATAGCAATAATGATGGCGGAAATGACTAGGAAAAGAAAAATGCAAAAGGTAGCATATGTTAAAAACTTCTGAATGACTGTCTTTGCTTTACTGATATTCCACAGTTGGACATGTAATGAATAAGTTAGTAATTGAACAACGAAAGAAGTAAGAGGAACACACACTTGATAAAAATAAGCTAAAAGGAGATAGTAATGATTATGTTGCATTTTATACAGCAGTACGAAAAGAATTAACATCTAGGGTTTTCGTTAAATGCATCTAACAAATTATAGGAGTCTTATTTCAAGACAGAGAACTTTTCGAACAAATGCCTAAGGTGTTCACAACAATACTGACGAGTTTCAGGAAAAGAACCAACAGTTATTAAACGCTCTTCAGATGGGATCATTTCAACTGTCTTATGGTAATTATTGCAAGAAAAGCTAAAGCAAGGAAATGCAATAGGAGACATAGAGAACATAAAAACAATGTAACGATATAAACCAAGTGTTGGCGATAAATAACTTCAAAATTTAGATGTGAAAACAGCTATTAACCAATAAGGGATTTTAATAAACCCTGGAAACAAGATGGCCAACTTCTTCCAACCCATCAATTGTAATAATGTCTTGACAGAACGTAAATTTGTAAAATCATGACCATCCACTGATTTGATACCGAATTCACGGGTCAAATCAGGAGCGAATAAACAATGACCGGAGAGCTGGAGTAATTTTTTCTTGTTCGACTGTCGAGTTAAGCATGCAATAACATCACCAAGAACAGGAGCAGGTATAGCTGTTGGGATAGAGGAAATCAACAAATAGGATAAACAAGAAATAATGAAAATGAATTATTTATTCTATGACTTAGTCTCTGCTACAACTTTAATCAGACTGCTTCAAAAGCGATACAAAAAATTGATCCAATGATTGAAACAAATCACAACTTAGCGTGTTCCTCAGCTAAAATTTGTACTAGAATAAAATGAAATGCGTTATCGTCAATAGAAACCATTTTGGAATATGTTACAGTTTTCAGTGGATCATTTTAAGTAGTTTGATGACTTCAGACTCTTATTTCGAAAATGGCTAGTACTATTTCATTCATGATACGATAGCGTGCCCTGATCTAGTCAATCCAAGATATTATCGTAAGAAGTGAACCCATACGGTGAAAAAACAACGGTCAAATTGAAATGTATGCAGATTTAGTTATGCAAAGGCTTATTCACTGACTACAAATCACAGTTATTCCTCGGATCTAGTTAGCTGGATATGAGTTAGAATCTGCAACCTATCACTAATTGAAAGGGAACTGTTACAGCTTAGCAACATGTTTGAAACTTGTGGTTGAGTGAAACTGTGCCACTTCCAAATCCCTATCATCAATTCTTCAGTCACTTATGTAGCTTTTCATTGTGTTTTGTGCCACTGAATAAAAACATAAACTTACTGGAAGCGATAGATTCCTACCCAAACTTTCCCTGTCTGAACACGTTATACGGTCACATGCAGTTAAGTAAAACTACTGGTCCATAAGTTTTTTTCAGCAATGCGATTATCATATCAGAATCACAGCGATGAGATCCATCTCAAATGGTGTGACTACAAATGTTAGTAGTAGTAATTTACGTAATTTGGGCACTACGATAGGGTAGAACTCAATATTAGATTGTTTATTTGATATAGCACACTGTGACACACTATTAATTGTTGCATGACGTTTCAAGCACAGTTTATTCTTCATAATCATATCAAAGTGACCAAAAGCAATAAATTGTACTCGAAATGTCATCCAGTAAGTAAATGACGTATCACCATGTGTTAAACTACAATAAACAATCTACTATGGGAGCAGTAGTAATTGTTAGGAGGCAAATCCGACAAAGATGATGGGTTCGTTCAAGATTATCCTATTTCTAATCCAGTTGACCCAGTGGTTCAACAGTAACGTGGCTGTTGCGTAACTGGAAGGTCTTGAGTTCAATCCGTGGTGGGGTCACAGATGCACACTGTTGAGGAGTCCCATGGCAGGGTGAAACAGTTGTTCAGTGCCCCAAGGTTTCCAATTTTTCTCCAATCTATGTCAGTCAATGATGAATACCGACCTGAAATCAATGAATAAATCCCCACAAACCTCTAAGTTCAACTAATGGGTACTTAACATTTGATTTTTTATTCATACAGTTTGTAACTGTTAGTCTGAGTCGTGTAGAGAAGTGTTGGTTTCCAGATCAGGATCCACCTGAAAACAAGCAAAACCGATGATTATAGACTTTCAGTGATATGGCTCAGAATAAATCTTAGTGGTGCAAAAGTATACACACCTTATCATATTACATCTAGTTGTCTTGCCTTACACCCTTCTTCTTTTCTCCTCTTTCTACAATTTTAAAAGCATGATTTTTATTTCTCTGGCTTTTATCTTTTTTTATTGTATTTCCATGTGCCAATGAGAAGTGTGGCAACTTGGACTATTTAGTAGCAAAATAGTGACTCATCAAAGAGGCAATCTTGAAAATATTTGTGATAGTTGATGGCTTGTAGACTAAATTGTGAAGACTGAATTGAATACCCTACTGGATAAGATAATGTAATTTCTGTGAAGGATGATTAGTTGTTTGTATAACTCGTAAACAATTCTGTACTAGATAGGCCACACTTGTGGTTACAATGTAACATCCAAAAATCAATTGCACTAATAAGACACATCAATGATACAATCATTTATTGATACACAGATGGTTGTAAAACATTCTGTTCAACTAGAAGACAAAATTTTTATATAAATAGAATTATACTACCTAAATAAAACCGTGTTGAGAAAATCTACCTGTAAATTCAAATGTGCAAAAGATTAGTCATGGGCTCGAAACTCGCTCCACCTACTGAGGTTTGGGCAGCCAGGTATTATCATTAGCTCTCACACAATAGATGTCGCTCGCTACAAACTTCATGAATGTGTGCAAGGTCACTGAGTGTATTTGTGAAAATAAGGTGGAATGGAGGTGTGGCTCATTGGTCTAGACACAGGTTTTAACCCCACCCCACCTAGTGACGTCTTGACAGGAAGGTAGTACTGTTAGCTCCTACATAATAGGTATCACTCAATGCCGACTGCATAAAAGTGTGTGTGCCTGCTGGGTACATTTCGCTTACTCTTCAGAATGCATAGTTGTGATAATGTGCATATTTTCAAAGAATTTCCCTAATGAAACAACCATTTTATAGCATTATTTTCATGTCATCACATTTGTAGGTTGTTTTTTTCACGCCTTATCGTTTTAACCGTAATTTGAGCGCGTACGAATATGAACATACTTAAGCATAGGCTAACTACACACTGGTAGAATAGGTAATTTAGTTTACAATCTTGATACGATTAGCTCACTACGATCGACTGGTGACTATTTCATGACTGAAACTAAATGGAATCAAAAGACTGTGCTAAATTCCCACTGATTGTAGATACTTCGAACAGTATCCACACTCAGCAAGGAGAACATCAATTCGACAAAACAGTCATATGTAAAAATGTGACCAAGATGAAATATTCATCATTTAACCATCGAACAGCAAATAGTTGGTCAACGGCGATACGAAGGTTAGCAAACAGTGAATAAATTTCTGTCAATAAGTGTAAGACTCCACTCTTATCCACTCTAATGATCACCTAGATTTCCGTTAATTCTGAGTTCAGAGGATTGGAAATAAATAAGACGCCAAAGTAGTATGTTTGACGGCTAGCAGAGGAATCCAAAATGCGCGTCTCGTCCTACTTAGGACTCGTTAGCTGGATGTACCTGCACCCCAGTGCGTGATATTGTTCCCATTCAGACTCAAGTCTAGTACCCATCGCTTCAAATGCCAAAGCGTGATGCACTAGGTCACTGAGGCACGACAGCCAACACTTGTGCAGCGGGTATCATTTGTTGTTGATCGATACTTGTAAATCCCCGTCATTATACTGAGTCAAATTGTTCGACGGAAAAACAGGACGAAACGCGCATCCTCGATTCCTCTGCAAGCCGTCAAATAGACAACAATATGATGAATACCTAGGCAGTATCGAGACATCCCCATAGGACTACATCTGCTAACAGAGGTTGAGCGATTCAACACAGTACAGCAATGGGAAATTACAAATATTCATAAACAGGACGCCAAAATATTTATCTTATGTGACACATTATTATTGTTCCCTGTGCTTTGTACTGTCTTAATTATTTCAGTGATCATCGGACGAGATACTGACTACAAACAATTTTTATATCTAGACTATATAAACGCAACTGCACAGACTTCTTAATTAACTGTGAATAAACATTCGCTCTTCAGTTGAGTGGTGTATGAGGCAGTGGTTGATATCTATTGATTTCTTACAGACTGACACTATCTGAAAAGTCACTGAAAATCAGGGGACACTGAATAGTTGCTTTTTCTATTTTCAAGACTACTTTCAACCACACAAACCAACTGCCACATAGAATCGAATCCAGTGGCTTTAGGTATCAAGACGATCTGTTTCTCATATAAACGATATTTTAAAACTTAACTAATAATTAGTCAAATTAGTTGTAGAAAAGTGAATAAAACTAATTACACCAACTTACCCATCCTTAAGCTGACATTATATCCAAATAGTTTCGATGGGTTCCCACTTTCATAGGCGGATACAACAGACTCTGTTTGTACGAGTCCAGGAATAATACTGACTATGCTTACATTTGCATTGTGACGTTTCAGATCACGTGCCATTTCTTGGGTAATTCGATCCAAAGCTGATTTGCCTGATTATTGACGAGAAGGCAAATAGAGAGGCATAAACAACATAAGATCTGGTATATATGCTAAGTTGTCAGATTACGTTCATGTATCACAGTGAGAGTTTACAAGTGAAAAGAGACAGTAAATGCAATGAAAAACTGATGGGAACACAGTGCAGCAAGACCTTACTCCAAGTTGTCAAACTTTGAAACAAACCGATGAGAGGAAAGTAACGGTTAAAGTAGTCCAAACAGCAAGTAAACAGTTATTCAGATAAAGACTTTACGAACAATTAGTGACTTCATGGATTACTGTATCATGTGTTGTCGTGATTGTCATATATTTTTTTACTCTTATTCTAGTTAACAGTGCACACTAAAGGAAATGATGCTACTTAAGTGTAAATAAGTGACCGACCGATAGGTGTTACCTTGACGTGGTGATCGGGTTAGCATATCACAATGACCCAACACGCTATTCTGATGGAAAGTTTGTTTTTTTTCGAGGTCCTGTCATACCAGAAAGGTCTGGTGGCTAGTGGTTACACAAAAAGTGGCTACCGTTATAGCGTAAAGTTTTACGCTGTGATGGGGTTCTGAAGGTGAAATCGAACTGCTGACTGGACGGGTGTGTGACAGAGGCAAGGTATTTCCTTTGGATGACCAGCAGTGTCAGTTTGATGCTGCCTTCCCTATAGAAAGGAGGGTTAAGAAAGGTTGGTCCCAAAAGTAATACATTCCTTTTTACCTGGTGGCATACCGGTGCCAGTAATACGGGTTCATAGTTGGAGTCGAAACTAAGTGAAGAAGCTCACACCAGACTTCTGTGCAGAACGTTAACATTCCTCATTTCAAACACGTTGAGATTTGTCCAAATATAACTCATATCTACATGAACAGTAATTATAGTTACTATTAAACAAAACTTCTAAGTAAAACTAAAATTTTGAAACTCCCCCTCACGATAACTGGACAATTTACACTCCTGACTGATATGAGCTGAATATTTTGTTTACGGCTTTGTTAATCCGACCTCCGTTTTTGGTGATAAACAATGAGTATCTTTAATTCTACTGGAAATAGCTGTGGAACAGAAACTGTACAGGAGCAGAAGAATTACATTTCAAGAGAACCGACGAATTCGTGATTCTCTGAAACCAGAATATGATTTCGTCTTGTCTTGATTTTAGTATGGAAATAGATACTTCGTCTGACATTCGCAAACGTATTTCTTTTATGGAACTGGCAAAACACTCGACAGCTTATCATAGAAGAGGTATGACTAAAGCTCTCGAGATATTAAGAATCTAAGATTACAGTTTTTTGACACACACATACACGGAAGTTGCGTTTACAAGAGACTTTAAAGGCTACTCTAGTAACGATCGAAATAACCAATTAGGTTTCTTCATTTTAGCTGGAAAGACACATTTTCATAAAATGTCTGATTAGTTACTTCAGTTAACGCTAAAGCGGCCTTTAAAGTCACTCCATTCACTTATGATGTATTTTTTTCAAAAAGCACTCATCACAGATAAAGTGATAAAACGATTAGTTTGGGTTCATCTTAAGGTCATATTTCAGTAAAGATTTTCTCAATGAATTGGAATAATTCATGTCTAAGGACTGCCAACAACAGACTAGAAACCTTAAGAATTACACAAGAAGTATGTTAGAACAACACAAACCCAGATGACTAACATATTTCTATCGAAGTAAGGATATAAGAATATACTATTACTAACCAGCACAAAATGCAACATTATATATCCGCAGAGTTCCACCGAAACTGGAGATATTTACAATTAATCCCGTAGGCATTTGTTTAGCTGTAAGTGGTGTTGCACTGTCGGAATGATTGCATGCAGTTAAAACTTCTTTATTACAATTCAATGGTTCTTCTCTACACTTGATCATCATACGTGTAGCCAATACACTGCAAATATATGCATTACGTAGACCAACTCGATTGACTAAATCCCATTCTTCACCTGGACGATTCTTAGCCTCCCAATATGGTGACTTGTTGACTAGTAGTAAGTAGTCGGTTGCACTGAAAGCACAATTTACAAATATATCCAATCGACCACACTGTTCTTTGTGAATACGTGAAAATAAGAGTGCGACTTGTGTATCATCAGAATGGTCTACAGCAACAGGGATTGCTTTCTACAATAAAAAAAATTAAGGAGGACTGAATGAATGAAAAAACACATCTACACTACCGCTACTTGATTAAAAATACAACAGTAACATTAACTGGAGGTATATCGAGTTGTAAAATGCAAAACATAATAATATAAAAGTACAGAAACAGTTTATAAAGACAGTGACTATTTATTTTAAGCTTTGTAAAGTGTAGGTCATCGTTGTCGAGTGGTAGAAGACAAGTGAAATAGACAGTTGAAGAATTCAAGCTGATATCCAGATGCAGTGGTGGAAATTTATTTAAGCTTTATTTTAATTTTGTTCGTAACATTACATGCACATATTTCCTTTATCCCCTGGCTATCGACTTATATTTTTAATTCCCCTGTAAATAACGTACTGTGGAGAATTGATCGATTCTTTAGTACAGAGGCTGTCACACGGGTGTCTCGATATCCCTAGCAAATTCATGATGACTAACTGGCAAAATCAAAGTAGAACCTTGCTTACAAGTGCATCGGCTCAAGTTGCCACACTTCACAGTCGGAAAAATCTAAATTCACTCACTTATCTTGTGTAGATTCATGCAGTAGTCATTAGGCCACAACAAGTGTGTAAGAGTTAATGCTATTACCGGGCTATCCAAACTTCGAGAGGTAAAGCAGTGTTCGAACCCATAACCCAATTTACAGAATTACACAAAGAACTAGTTGATAGGAAAAGACGGATATCAGAGTAGAAAACATTGTGTGAGAAAATAAACAATTTGAAAATAACAGTTATTGCAAATATTAAAACTTCAGAAGATGACAAGGAGGGAATACATCTGCGTCATTATGACTTATTTCCAATCATGTTACCAAGAGTTCTCAACCCCTGGTTCTTTTCTTTTCACGGACAGCAGCTAGACCGTCTACATCTTCACACACGGCTCAGGTCAACAATCAGCGACTTCATCGACTGGTGCCAGGTCTTGGTCTGGCCACCCTAAATCCTATTCCAACTTAATCCAACTTCCACTAGCAAGGCACGTCGAGGTAGGCGGCGAGACGGTATGCGCAGTACATGTCCGACCCACCTCAGTCGACTAAGGTTCCCAACCTCACCAATCGACTTGCCTGCCTTGCCTAGTACCCTCCTTCTGACTTCAACATTGCTCACAGCAGTGGAATTCAGAATAAACGTTCTATCCTGTTTCGGACTAGTCATTTGCCAATACCCCAACTCTGGTGAATGCTGGTATTTTCACCTGGATTCAAAAACAGCGCCCATCATCTTAAACACCAGAGCATGTGTGTTACAGCATTTTTTGTCATAGCGCTTCCGAAGTCCCACTAGATGGCGTATGACTCGAAATCGTGACCCACGAGTAAGAACTCTGTCACCTTAATCAATAAACCACAGTCTGTCAATATAAACATTGGACGTGGTATCACTCCGTAATGGTCCAAATCGCCACACTTCATATCACCACATCAAGCCAGAATCCACTGAAATGGAAGCTAAAAAAATAACGAAGAGAACAGTCAGAGTGGTTGGAAGACGTCAAGAGAGGGCGAGGAACAATGAGAAAATACCGAAACTCAGTATGACGATTGAGATGAAGACAATGTGTAGATACACCTGCTCCACCGAGATGGATTCTGAACCATCCTCATTTCACAGGACTAAGTCGCCTACATATATTAGGTTTACTAACGAGTCTCCTGTGACCCTTATAAAGTTCAATGACGAGAAAGAGACGATTATGAAATTAGATAAGAATGGAGAGGGGACATTCTTGATGGACACCACTTGATGTACACAAATCACAGTAGTTTCTGACACGCTCATTAGTTATCATTTTGACTATCTGAGAGCCGTGGTTTGGCATATCAGTATTTATACTGGGTTATGATTGAAGGTGAAATGGAAATCCGGACCGCGGCAGGATTCGAACCATTGACCACTGCTCATCAGTATTCAAGTGCAGAACCTTCAACAAAGTGATTTTCTTACTTCGCACGCCTTTCAATGAGAGACATTGCCATAAAACCTCGCGATTGACTGAGTCAAAAAGCACATGCAGATCGACGAAGACAGCTAGTGTCAAGCGTCAGTAAGTGGGCCTGTATTCTAGGAGCTGGTGGAAAGTGAATATCTGAAGGATAGAGTCACTGTCAGGTGTTAAACCTGCCTGGTTTTTTCGGGTTTACTGGTTCGGAGCCTCAGTTAGATGTCAAATGATTACAGAACCCTCACTTAGTGAAATATTTTGGTTTTCTCATCGATAAGCTGCGCTAGTAGTAATCATGTTGTTGTAGTTTTCTCACGTCTGTTCATGCGGACATACACGTACTCACTATTCAAATACATGTCGTAGAAAGAGAGAAAATCTTCTACCTTCTCTCTTCAGTAATAACTGATGGGAATATAGTGTATTTGCATCCACCACTGAAATGAGATGCTGAATTCAAAACTACGACCGGAACATGCTGGCTGGCTTCAGGAAGTACAAATCATGTGCAGACCAAATTGCAACGCTACACTACGCATCATCATAGAACAGAGCACAGAATGACAGTCAACTCTCTACCTCATTCTCATTGACTTTGAAAAGGCCTTCGACAGCATCGGTCGAGAAGTAATTTAGCCACTGCTTCAACGCTACAGAATACCACAAACCTTTATCAACCTCATTCAACAACTATATGAAGACGCCACATACCAAGTAATTCACAGTGGGAAGCTCAGTGATGCCTTTGAAGTGAAGACAGGAGTAAGACAAGGCTGTCTACTATCACCCATGATATTTCTGATTGTTGTCGACTGGATCACGCAACAAACAGTGGGGAGTGAGAAGAGGGGGATACACTGGACCGCAGAAAAGAATCTAGAAGATTAAGATTTCGTCGATGACTTGTGTCTAGTGTCACACACACTTGAAGATCTACAGGCAAAATCCAACAAGTTGACAGAAGAGGCGATGCAGTGAAGATAGGACTTTAAGTGAACGTAGAGAAGAGAGGTGATGAAGATACCTAACCAACAACAACAACAACAAGCTCCGATCACCATGAACGGTAGAAACTTAAAGGAAGTAGCCTCTTTCACCCACCACCTAAACAGCATCGTATCAACTACAGGCGGCACAGACGAGGACGTCAAAAACAAGATTGGAAAAGCAAGACAGGCATTCACTAACCTGAAACCAGTGTGGAGATCTTCTGCACTCAGCATAAAGCGTGAACAAGATCCACATTTTCAACATCAACGTCAAGTCAGTGCTTTTATATGGTTCAGAGACTTGGCGCGTTACAAAAGGCATTTCCAACAAACTACAGACATACATCATCAACAACTGCCTACGCTCGATACTGAAGCTCAGATGGCCAGAAATAATAAGCAATAAGGAAATCTGGCTGGCTGGTGACGAGCCAACCAAGAACCTATCACTCAACAAATATGCAGTAGAACGAAGTGGAGATGGATTCGGCATGCACTTAGACCATTCGTGGACGTCACGCGCAAGGCCATCGAGTGGGACCCAGATGGGAAACGACGAGTTGGGCGTCTGAGGGTGACATGGAGGAGGTCGTGCGAGGAAGAAATGAGAGATTCTGGGCAGTAGTGGAGCCAGGTTTAAAAGATTGCAGAGAACAGAGTAGAATGGAGACGTGCTACTGAAGCCCTATGTTCCACTAGGAACCCAAGGTACAAATAATAATGATAATAATAATAATACTGAAGTGAGATTGGTGGATGCCATGTCAGATAGTGTCTATCTTAATTTCTGAAGATCATGATGGCCGGAAATGGATGGTTGTCTGGGCACAGTTGTAGCAGGTGATTGTAGTCATGTGGTTGTTCGGTGGAGATTACTAAAGCGCCAATCATGCATCCAGTGGGAGGCTGAACAGCCTTCCATAGTCAATGGGTGTAAGCAAAAATCACTAACAGACAATAGTGAATATCACTACCCCTTTCAGTCCTCATAATGCAGTTCGGCTAGACAGCACACAGGGGACTGTCAACTGAAATCTAGTCGAGAAGTGTACTTTTTGCCTCAGTACTTAATATTGTACTTGCACCTACAAGACTATGAAAACTATCTGTCGAACCAAAGGATGAATTTCTCAGATTCACAGTATTGGTGGAATGAGATTAAGTGAATAATCGCACTTGGGTTCCGTGATCATGTCTCAAAAACACAGAAAACGTCCACCATCTGAGATGCCAGTTTTCGTTAGTGAAGGTTTTCGGCCGGTAAGATGGGGAGTGCGGGCGTTGAAAGCTATGTGGTTGACCTACTTGCGTCCAACTAGGAAACCCATTCCTCCAGTATCAAAAGATCGTGGAACAGCAGGTGTTTTTCTGGAGCTGATATTTTCTAACGCCCTTGTTCCTATGGACAAGGCGGCACCAGCAAAGTATTGCTAATTATCCATAGAGAAAATCTTACTGCCATTACATCCTGTTCAACAAGCATTACGACTTTACCCTAGGAACCTCCGACATACCACAGTAATTTACATTCTGACGGTAACTTTTTAACTATCCAACAGTTCCACAATTATATATATCCATACATATGTATAAACACATAAGTGCAACCTGGTACCAGTCGATGAACTCTCTTACTGTTGGTTTTAATCGTGTTAGGAGACGTAGGCTGCCTAGTTGGAGTCCCCGAGACGAAGGAAATCAGTGGTTAAGAACTCTTGGTAACATGGTTGGAAATAAGTCATAATGACGCAGATGTATTCCCTCCTTGTCATCTTCTGAAGTTTTAATATTCGCAATAACTGTTATTTCCAAATTGTTTATTTTCTCACACAATGTTTTCTACTCTGATATTCGTCTTTTCCTATCAACTAGTTCTTTGTATACTACTGTGAAGTTTTGCTACCCGAGCCGATGCACTTGTGTGCGAGGTTCTACGTTGGTTTTTTTTACCCATATATATGCTGCATCTGATATTTTTATAAACCACTTGAAAGAAAATTCGTTATTCGTCAGTAGTCGCGGCACATTCCTTACCATCATTTAAGTTTGAATCCGAATGATAACTTCTGCGTTGTGCTACCACGCTCAACTATGAAGTAGGTAGCGCATTATAGTGAGTTGCCCCAACCTTCGATTTCCAAGCAGTGGATCTCGAGTTCAAAACTACCTCCATTTGCTTACAGTGAGGTAACCGAAAAGAATCATAAGCCCTGACTGACAAAGTGTGGTCCATATCCTGATGTCAAGTTGAGTCACATCAATTTATAATAAGGTGAGTTGCCAATGAGTGAACTCTTGAGCGGTAATACTTGAATAATTATCTCACCTACTATTTTATCAAAACAACTGGCTATAAGATGATCAAAATAGGCTAAACTAGTCCACTTAAATACCTTTACACCAGTTATTTTGTATGGGTACCACCGAAAATGATACTGATAGATATGTGGTTAGTTTCAAATATTTTTTCGGGATATTAACAGTCTCTAGTAACGTTCAGTGTGCTCAACTTTGCCTTCAAGCTATGCTCACCTTATAAATACAGTCTTCACTTCTTAGTTCAACTAATCACCAACTGTTACGTAGTCTATCCAAAAAATATATAGACAGCAGCAATGTTCAAGTCTTCAATAAAACTTACCCCACCCGCAGCATTAATAATATGCACAGTGTCATTAAGGCTTCCTCCATTTTTGGTACCTTCAGCTGAAAGAGTCCTCCAGTAACATACACAGTAGCTCCTGCTTTTCCTAAACCGATTGCAATACCTTGACCTACACCACGACTGGCTCCGGTAACCACACAAACATATCCAGAGAGGTTTGAAGTCATTCGACCTCAAAAAATCGTTGTTGGTAACTTGCTGACTGACCTGAAGTCGAAGTAATTTGATGAATTATGAGGATATCAAGGCAGTACGAGATTTCTAACTGATGTGAACCTAAAAGACGTTAAAGTAACAAGAAAGATGAACTAAATATTCTGCCAAAGCACAAATAGGTACTTAAGCAAGATAACAAAAGTAATAACGTCTCTAACAATGGGAACTGAAAAGTAGTTTTTAAGCGCTGCAAGTCATGCCAACTTATATACTCTGGTTTTAAGCCTATTTGAAACACGGTTACTGAATTTTCCAGAATTATATGTGAGCCACTGATGCTGGTAGGTGTTTAGTTTTTCGACCATTACCGTTGGTTCTGCTGATAAGTGGGGGGGGAAAGGCGTGTTTGAGTTGAAACGTTGATTGGTAACATCGCTTACAGGTGGGTTTTCAGGAACGACGGCCTATTTGGTTATAAGCATGCTGCTCAGCTACATAACACTTAAAAAGAACCCTTAGATACGTACAAATAGATGCACAGAACTGATCCTCTGTGTGTAACAAAAGCTGGCATTGCATCATCATCAACGCAGGACCTGATGTTATTGAATAATGACTAAGACTGCAAAACCTCATATGAGAGGACCCAAGTACAAGACTAAGCGAAAGGCAAATGAAAAAAGTAAAACCTAAAGACACAGAAACCTATGAAAAACCACGGGTTAAAGCAAATCACAGTATGGACAGATAAGTTCTTTGTAGATAAAATCAGTGTTCAGTTAAATCAAATGCAGTGACTCCCAGTTCACTTTAATATTGTTACCTACTTTATAGTTTCTTCGCACTACGGTTTCGCAGCAAGATGGCTTAAACCGAAGCACAACTGTACCCATTTTTTCCTGTTTCGAACGGATAACACTGAGTTAAAACATCTAAATGCCCATAAATCATTGGTTATATGCATTGGAATGAATTAATAGTTTAAGTGAAACTGCTTGAAAAGCCAGTCAGTAGTTGACAACATGTTAACTAATGCCACCAGGATAAAAATGTAAACTAGTAACTGCAGCCAAACCACCAACCCCTACAGTTCTCTGTGTAAAATGCAATGGTCTACAGAGATGCTATCCTAGGGTTTTATTGCTGTAATCAACGTGAAATCCCATCTGTAAGTGATCAGTTGAATAAAAACGATGACTGGTCTCCTGAATTACCTAACTACAAAAATGCAAGGGATACCAGATCAGCATGAAGATAAACTAGGTAAGTCTAGAACAGTTAGGGTGATGAGAAATAATATTCGTTAGTAGCAGTCAAGTGGCAGAAGTCAACCAGGGCACTAATGAGAAACTAGCTGCTGTTACAAAATCACAATTAGCGTAGAGACAAAGAGGCATTTCGAATTACACACGTATTCTGAGTGTATATACTCTTAACTCACTTAAGAATTCTATTTGCATCCCATAAGAGATATACAGGTTCCGAAGGTGTCACTGGAACAGTTACACCAGAGTAATGGTGGGTTTCAGACGAAAATGAGAGGCATTCTGGAAAGCAAAACAAAAGACAAGACAAACAGGTCAGAGAGTGTTGTGTAACGGTTAAAGTTGCAACACTTCAAAGGTAGTTCAAACAGACAGAAACAACCGCAATGATAAGTAACACTAGAAAGGGTTACCATGATAATTCGGGTAATTTATAATTTTGTGTCAGTCCGAAGATAAAGTCTTATCGCTGACTGCAGAAGGTATGACAACATTAAAATGTTTCCTACGGATAAAAAACATTCCATGTTGGTGATGCCGTTCCTTAGAGGAAGGAGCTGTTATATAAGGTATCGAACTTCCAGTTTTTCAGTGTAGCAGAGAAAGTGTGGGATGTTTTATGCTGACGTCCTATGAGCTCGATGAACCCTTAAGACTGTTCTACTTTCCATCACTTCACGAAGACACCAACCAACATAATGTGGGCAGGTGGAAAATACTAGCCACCTGTATGCTTCGAACAGCTAAAACAAAAAGATAGTCATTTAGAAAAATGCTGACTTCTCCATTAACAACCGCCTGTCAATAGAAACCAGCAGCCGGAGACTAGGCGATATGGTTCAGAATCCATCTCGGTGGAGCAGGTGTATCTACACATTGTCTTCATCTCAATCGTCATACTGAGTTTCGGTATTTTTTCATTGTTCCTCGCCCGCTCTTGATGTCTTCCAGCCACTGACTGTTCCAATATCCAATCCAATATTGATAGTGTGAGCGTAGAAAACTGGTAGTTTTTGATCTCTCGCGTCTAGTTCTTAGGGCTTGGTTCGAGTTGTTTGGTTCACGCCTGCAGTAAACGAGGAAATCCGCTCTGTTTTCTTGCTTTTAGCTTCGGTGAGGTGGGTGTTTTGTGGGTTAATAAGTTGTAATTTGTAGAGTGATTAGGGAGCTATGGGTTGCTGGGAAGTTTAGAGAACTGCCGTGACTCCTGTCAGTGTAGGTGCCTTCAAACTGTTCTCTTCGTTATTTTTTTAGCTCCCATTTCAGTGGATTCTGGCTTGATGTGGTGATATGAAGTGTGGTGATTTGGACCGTTACGCAGTGAAACCATGTCCTATGCTGATTTTGTGTGTTCAAAACGTGAATTAGTCCACGAAATACAGCCTTGAAGATATACACTCGCTGACTAGCTGCCTAGTAAACAGAAATACCAGAATTCGCAAATTACGTAACTAGGAAGAATAGTGACGAACTTGTTCTTACCATATATAGGTACGTAGACCAGATAAAACAAAGTTATAGTTTATAATGCCAAATAGATGTGTGTAAATGAGGATTGACTTCGGCCTATTCCATATTCTGCTATTTATCTAGCACAATGGCTAAGTTAAGAATTACACAGAATAGTGCCTATATTTCCAAATTAATGTATTTAAACCTAGATTTCGCTAAATGGAAATGAATTTTGGGGGATATCATATGCGTACGATAATATAAAATCAGCCGGTATGCTAAATAATGAAGTATTTAATCTAAGGGACTCAACTCGGCAACCGAATGTAGTTTAGACTTGAACAAATACCAACAAACCAACAGCCTACCTAAATCCAGTAGTTAGATGAAAGTGTGCCTTACAGTGGACCTATTATTGACCGACAAAAACGAAGGAGAAAAACAATCCTTGAAACTTGACAATGCACAATTCTTTTTCTTATAAACCATGTGCACTGTCACACACTTCTCCAGAATCGATTGCCTAGGGTTCCAGGATATTCAACATTGATGCCAACCTTGATAGTTTTATCGGACTCGTTCAGCTGAAGGTACCCGGTCGAGCATCCTCGCCACTCGCTACGCTGTCGTGTTACCTTGAACTGCTCTTAATCGACCCTCTAGCCAGTTAGTTGGAACGCATCAGTATCTTGCCCAGACCTCCAAATATACTATTCCATCCGACTACGCGATTGTGTTCTTTCCTGTTCTAGTATTCGTGGGTTTATAACAGGTTCGAATAATTAGTGATTGGCCTCTGAGTACGTCAAGTTCACTTCAGGACAATTCCTCAGGACGTAGATCACCGCTTGCCGTTGACAAGAAGGCGGTTTTCTCTCAATACTGTGAACAAACTTCCTTTTTATTCTCTAATACTGCAAAACAAAACCAGTCTTTCAATTCTGCCAACAACTGTCGATCTTCAGTGTAAGAATAAAACCTGGGGTCTGTAGCGGAGTTTAGTTCTTTGATATCAACATAAGAAATGAATTCTACCCAAAACTTCCTCACTGCGTGCCATATCAAAAAGACGAGTAATAATAAAAAGTGTCGTCCCTCTCTCTCTTGTTTCTCGGTTCAGGGTTTTTTGTGTCTGTCCAATTATACCTCTTCATTCAACAAGTAAGCCTATTCACATTCACACAGTCTCAGTCCAAAGGCAGTGAACTTCCAGTACATGAGCTGAGAAGGTTACTTCACTGATTGTCCAAATCATCTCATGGCCCCAAAGTTCGATATCTGCCCTACGAGCCCAGAGAAACTAGACGGTATTTGTGCTGGCTTCTAACTTTCCTTGAAAGGTTCAAGGTCATTGGTGGAGTGCGAAACCGTAGATCAACTGGCTCTCCTGGTTAAGCTCTGGCAAACCGGACACTGTGTTGAGTTTTGGTTAAATTTTTAGTGGAAGATTATGGTGTTTTGATATTACGACACAGATGAGTTCCACAACCGTCGGGCAGCTAGACGGCTGTTCGGACTGGTTGTAAAAGAAACATAAGGAAAATAAAACGATAGTTATGGGAAAAAAGAGGGGGAAAGGAGTGGCAAAACGAGAAGAAAGAAAAAATACAGGTAAACTTGGGAAACGTGAGAGGAAAACATTGATATCGAGAACTTTAGTAAATTGGGTGAAATCATATGGTCAGAAAATCTCGCCTAGGTAACTAGTTCACTAGTTGCTAGCCGGTCCTAAGCCCGGACAAAAAGCGAACGTTGGGCATAAGGCTAGCAACCCTACCCCGTAAAACCAATCTAACCGCTTAACAAACTTCAAAGCAAAACGGAAATGCAAAACATAAAATGAAACTTATTCCTCGCTGGAATCGGAGAGGCGAAATGACGCCAGTTGGTGAAAGCCTTCAGGAAGCCAATTGGCCGATGTGTTTTCTCTCCCCCAATGAAAGCGAAAGTAAAAATGGGGACACAGAATGTCCGAACAATGTTTGAAGCTGACTGGCTGACAAGGCTGCCCAGATTGTAAGAGATATGAAAAGATATAGCATAGAAGTGCTAGGCTGGGAATCTGCAGATGGAATGGAAGTGGACTCTCAAAACTCTTAACTGGAGAGTCAATAATCTACTCGAATATTGTCACCCAGACGACAACCACGAGCACGGCACACTGAGTTTTCGTATGGCTATCATGATGTCCCCAAGCACATCGAAGGCTCTCAGGCAGTGGGAACCAATCTCCTCCACGATCAGAATCATGACAGCAAGATTCAACTCGAAGGGAAGGAGAGTCACAATCACATAATGCTACGCTATGCACCTACAAATAATGCAGATGAAGAGAAGAGGTAGGAATTTTACGGACAACTGGAGTCAGTACCAGACAAGACCTCAGTCCAGTTGGCCATATCAAAATTCTGATGAGCGACATGAATGCCGAACTGGGAGCAGACAACACAGGAAGAGAACCAATCATGGGTGGAGAAGCACTTGGTGAAATGAACGGGAATAGAGAAGTGTTTGGGGATTTCTGCACATTCAACGATTTGGTGATTGGAGATGGTGTGTACAAACACAAGGATATTCACATAGCTAGCGACATGGATTTGATTTCACCAGACACCAGGACACACTAGAAATCAGGTCGATTATATCGACCAATGTGAAGAAAGTGGAGACGCAGTCAGCCTACTGGATACAAGATGAAGAAGTGGATCAGATGTAGGTTCACACCACTCACTATCTAGAGCAATGAGCCTAACTTCAAAATCAAGTTGAAAATCTTCAAAGAAGCTTGTGATGATAGACCACAGTTTAAGTTGAACAGCCAGAACAGAAATTGAACTGAAGGAGGAAACTACAAAGGACATCTCCACGTCAGTCAGTGAGTCATCAGGACAAAGTGGGAGATATTGAGCAAGATCCGTGAAGAAACCTGTGTGGAAGAAGACTGGAACTCTTTGGAAGAGATGTGGAAAGAAATCTGGATAACCGTATTATGAGTGAAGAAGAAACAGAACAAGATAAGAAATGGATGTTGACAGACACATGTAAGCTGATAGAGCGTGGAGAGGAAGGTGGTGAAGCAGTAGATGAACCAGCGCAAGGATGAACAAAGGAAGGAGGAACTGAGTACAACATATTAAACTTTGGATAAAGTAGTGGAGAAGGGTGTGCGAAAGACAAAAGACAGTTTTACGACACTTTGGCAAGCGAACAAAAAATAAATTAATATTTTACTCTCACACCAGTCATTTAACTGGAGAGAAGCCGGTTTACGGGGGTCATCACGTTGATACACGTCGAAAAATCCAGAAAATTTTACGGATCCAGAATAGTACAGATGGGAGGTCGGTTGAATTATGAAAAACATTGGGGGATCGCGGTTATGAGACAAAAGGGAAGATAGCACCTTACAGCATATGCAGAGAACCAAAGCAAAGATAATAAAGATTCTCACTCTCATGTAATGGATTTAACATGAAGCTGCAGCTAGGAGAGACGGACAGGACAACATTTTATCAAATAAACAAGTTACTATCTAGGAGGGGAAAGATCAACACAGATAAAACCAATAAAACGTAGTAGAGGAGGCTTAGTTACCGAGGAGGAGAAACGAAGGAAACAACCAGCTGTATGCTGCAAAAAGCCTTTTAACTGACCACCACCTGCAACTAGTCCAGAACCACCACCAGCAGCCCAGCCACAGAACTACCAGTGAACACAGGCCCTCCAACAAGAGCAGAAGTGTA